AGCATATGGGTTATAATGGGATTTATGTCCCAATGTTTGTGGATGATCTTAACAAGTTCTTCCGGGCCTACTCAAGCCCTGACATTCCTGGCTTCAGGTATGCAATTTGTGAACTAGCATGTGAATCACCAAACAAATGGGATAAAACTTTATTTCGTTCAAATGAATTTCAAATTGTTGTCTTATTTAAGTCTAACAAAAGAAACTAATCTATATTTTTTTTTTCATATAAGAACTCGAGGTTTATTCATTTGAGGGATGTTACTACCCTCCCCACAAAAGTGCCTTGTTTGTATTACTGCAATCTATATACAAGCGGGGCTCTTTTTTTGTGTGGATGGATGTATTGTTATTTAAGCACACTTTCTTGCTAGAACTGCAGTGTTGGGATACCTTATAAAGAAGCGGTAGTAAATTTTTGCGACGAAGTCCATCCTCTTGCTCAGGTTAAAAAAATTAAACTTGATTCCAATCTCTATATAATTCATGCATTTGCTACATTTAGGCGAGACAATAAAAAACACATTTACTAGTTTGGTGACATTCTTCTTGCACGCTTCAATACCAGTCCATAGGGGCTGTAAATACAGTTGTGAGGAGGCCTAGCGATGGGAAGCTCATTGGTTTTAACACAGATTGTGAGGCTTCCATAACTGCAATTGAGGATGTTTTGACCTTGAAGGGTATGATTTCCAAATTAAACTCCTCCCCCCTGTAATTTGTGTAAAGCTATGCAAAAAGATTAATGACGACTGATTCTAACAGTGAATGGATGGAACAACGGAGAAACATTTCATCCTTCCCCACTCTCTGGAAAACTATTTGTCCTGGTTGGTGCCGGAGGTGCAGGAAGAGCACTGGCCTTTGGAGCTAAGACCAAGGGAGCTCGGATTATGATTTATGACATTGACTTTGGTAAACATTACTCCCTTTGTCCCCCCTAACGATGTTATCGTATTGACTTTTTGTAGTTTTTAAGAAGAGTTGAAAAAGGTGGAAGTTTATTAAAATACCCTTGAGAAAATTGGGTGGAGTTTATTAAATGAGGTGAGTGAGGTGTAATAAATAAAGTAAAGGTAATTATAGTATTTTAAATGTTAAAAAGGTATTGAGAAGATCTATATATGATGTACAAATAAAAAGGACTAATAGGAAGATTTATGGGGACGGAGGGAGTATAAAATTGGCGGCTGAACAATTTCACATGCCATTAAACTATGTATTGAATAAAGTAATGTTAGTAGGACCAGAGATTAATTATTTTCTTTTGTTCCTGTAAAAGGCAGAGCAAAGGCTCTTGCAGAGGCAGTGTCGGGCGAAGCTCGACCTTTCGAAGACTTGCCATTTTTCAAACCTGAGAGTGGTGCCATTCTCGCAAATGCCACACCCATTGGAATGCATCCAGACACAGACCGCATCCCTGTTGAAAAGGTTCAGTCTTCATGTACATTATATTGTTATATTCGTTTGAATTAGTGCAACCACAAAAAACATAAAAAAAGAATTCAATACCTTTTTGTTTACTTAATCAGGAAACACTAGGGGATTATCGAGTCGTCTTTGATGCTGTTTATAACCCTAGAAAGACTAGTCTGCTAAAAGCAGCCGAAGCTGCGGGTGCCATTTGTGTGAGTGGAGTTGAAATGTTTCTCCGTCAAGCCATGGCCCAGTTCAATCTCTTCACTGGACACAAAGGTAAGAAATGGTCCAATGAAACTTTTTTGTTAAATTTTCTCACAAAATTAAGAACTAATTCGTGTAATAAACCCACTATTTAAGGGATAATCACCCAATATCCTAACAAGGTCTTTGGTCTTATTTTTTAAATTGCAAATAAACATAACTCTATTACTTGCAATTCAAGGTATATCGTGTAATTTTTTTAAAACGGTGAAGCAACTCTATCTATTACCAAGTGCCAATTTTGTTATACACTCATATTTCTTTATGTGTGTATGTGCAGCGCCTGAAGAATTCATGCGGGAGATCGTTATGGCCAAGTTCTGATAGGATGCTCATAGATATATAGAAAATGAGTGCATTCATTTGGATGAATCAATCCATATTGTTTGTCATTAACAAGAAAAAAAATAACATCAAAAAAGACAGGCGGGCTTGCCTAGAGTCTCACGGATGTGAGACATAATCAATAATGATAGACGATGGTGCAAATTAATTTTATGAAACGTACCATTTTTAGCCGAGAAAGAACAATAAACCAATCTAATAAACACTTAAAAGAAAGAAAACATTAATTATATTTTTATGTATAAAGCTAATTGGGAGAAAAACACATACAGAGTACCTTTTGGAGTACCTTAACAAGGAGTAAGTTTTACCATTTATATTAGGGGAACATGATACTAAAAGTTTGTAGGGTGCAGCAGAAATCATCAAATGAAGGCTATGCAAACAAATAAATCAAGAAATATTTGCACTAAATAGCACTAAAACTTAAGTCATTTTCCTAAACTGGACATACAGAGTAAATAGCACTAAATAGCACATACAGAGTACTTATGTTTTATTCCTATTAAGTGCACATTTTTCATTTCATTATCCGTGGACTTGATTGAACATCTCTGAATTATAAATGCAAAAAAATGTTAAAAGAAAATATAGATGACATCATCTCCTATTATTAAAAGAAATTATATAATGAATATGAACACTAAATATATTGATCATTAGAGTAGATTTTACATAAAACGTCCAAACTTAGACACAATACAAATAAGAACAATTGTTAAATTAAAACAAATAAACCTCTCTAAATAAGAGTAACACAGAACAAACTATCAAAATAGGTGACATATTTTAATTATCTAAACATTAGTGTAATGGCGGTATGGTACAAGAGTAATTGCATTATGATAACAGTGCAAACAAAAAACATTAAAATAGTTGATCGGTCAAGCGTTAGTGGAGAATTGGTCAACATCGGCACTCAGGCGAGCGACCCCACGACAATAAGAAAAGAATTGGTTTTAAAGAAAGAGGTCACAATCATACTTGGGGAGTAAGTCTTGATTGAGCAACCCAAAGTATTGATCCACTCGTGCAGGTTGGTTACAACTCTTGTCAATGAGATTGTAAATGAACTACGCAAGAATCTTAGAAGGGGGGGGCACCTTAGGTGTGTCCGGACGGTTCCATACATGTTCCAACTAATTCCAAATGTAAATCGCTGCCTCCTATAAGAATTGAAACGATATGGCTAAAATAAGATATTTTCAAAGTTATCTTTTTATGGTAAAATTCATACTCAAATTCTAAGTCTCGAAGTGTCAAGATCAACGGTGTAATGCACGCGTGATTTCGAATTACGAAACTAATATAAACCTAAATCGATACAAACCCGAATCAATATAAACTCGAACCGATACAAACCCGAACCGATACAAACCCGAATAGATATAAACCCGATTCGTTACAAACCCAAACCGACATAAACCCGAACCGAAACCAAAAACAAGTCAAACCAAAATAAACCCGGAACAGAACTAACCCGAACCGACCCGACCTGAACCGATTGACCCAATTGCGAGGTCTACTTAAACTAGCATAGCTTGAGAGTTTGTTAGGAGTACCTTAAACTAGAAGATAGCTTAAGAGTTGGTTAGAAGTACATTAAACTAGAATATAGTTTAAGATTTGTTTAGAAGTGCCTCAAACTAGATTTGTTTAAGAGTTGGTAAACATTAACACTATGTTTGGTGCAAGGAATATGAAAGGGAAAAGAAAAGAAAATATAGTGGAAAACTATTTTTCTTGTTTGGTTAGAGTGGAAAAGAAAGGAAAAGTGGAAGGAAAAGAAAATGAGGAGGCAAAATGTATCAAGTGGAGGGAAAATCAAATTCCTTCCATTTTGGTGAGGAAATTGAGAGAAAACCATTTTCTTTTCTTTTTCTTCTAAAATCCTTGAGCCAAACATAGTGTAAAGAAATTGGCCTTAGACTAAGAATAGTTTAAGGATTTTTTGAAGAATGTTGAATATGAATATGATTGTTGAATGTTGAATAATGAATATATATTATTGAATGTCTGAACTGAAATTTATGTGCATGATATCAAATGATTTGATTACGAATTGAGATTCTATTTATATGGATGTTTGACGCATTAGATATTCTTACTGAGCTTCAACGCTAAGCGTATAGTATGTTTTATTTGCTACCCTCAGGTAAACAAAAAGAATGAAGTAACATATTCTTGGCGGAAGATGGGGCGAGACGGACGTGCTGGATTTGTGGATTTAAATTATTATCTTAAAGATATAAAATAATTTATTGCGACTGCCATGAGACATGTTTTGAATTCGCTTCCGCATTATTAAACACACTGTATTTCTACAGTTTATGTATTGAATATTATTTATGATAAATAAAGATGTTTGAAATGTTTTAAAATTTACAATTACCAAGTTTATATTTTAGTCTGAAAGGAGCTGCAGACCTGGACGGATTAGTGTGTTACAAAAATAAGATGAAAAAATTCAACACACAACGATTAGATCGACATAGTTGTGAAATAGAGACAAGAATTGTATGAAGAGTGGGAACACATAAAATGTTATGAAGAGAGATGGGATGAAAGGGTGTAGGGATAAGTGTTTGGCTAGTGTGATTGATTTTTAAACCATTTCTGTTGCCAAGATGAATCTCATCAAGACCATCATTGTAACGCCCCAAAAACCGGTCTAGAAGTTATTTGATAATTAAGTAAATAAGAATTATTTATTTATTTACGACAATCTACTCTTTTAAAGAATTAAAAGGTACTTTAGAGACTTAATCGTTTCAATATAATAAAACTAATCTGATTATATTTGTAAAGATTTAAAGTAAAGACTGATCGATACTAATTAAACAGAAGAATCAATACGGACCAGGACGAACCAGTAAATACTTGTTGAATCATTATAAAAGTTATATCATTGGGAAGGGATCGACGAATCGAATTCAACGACACGAACGGATCTCAATTCGGAGCAAGTTGGGCCGAAAAGTGTGTTTTTACTCAGACACGTTAATTTAAACTACGGAGCACAAAACCCTAGAAATATAAATACTCCCTCTCCCGTTTCCTTCTTCTTCTTCGACTCAACCGCCGCCACCCCCCTCCTTCTTCGATCCAATCGAATAACAGCGGCGCACAAGGAGGCAACGGCGACATCGACTCGCGACCACGCCGGCATAGGGGCACGACGGTGAGCCACCCAACGACGACACCCGGCGGCGATTGGAGCTCCGGCGTGGACAGGGACGAGGGGCAGCGATCTAGGTCGGCGATGTCTCAATCGGCGAGAGACGAAGTCCAGCGCCGGCGACCCCAATATCTTCGGCGGACAACGAGAGGATGCCGGCAGACCAGTGAATCCAGTGCTCGCTAACGATTCTGACTTCGGCGGGGCTGCTCTCTATTCCGGCAAGTGACCTCCAGCGACCGGCGAGGTCTGGGCCTTGATTGACTGAGTTCGGACAGCAAGTTGATCCGGCCAGCAAGGGCAGTTTCCACGACCAATTTGGGTGACCAGCCGCGAGTGACGCTTCCTTCGATTGAACCGAACCCACGAGGTGAGTACGTGGACATCTAACACTAGAATATGCATCTAGGTTTGAAATTCCGTTCATGATTGTTATCGTGGTTGATTTATGTGATTTATCTGTTTAATTGTTGGTTATGATTTCGTGAATTGTTGTTGAATCAAAAGGGTAGTATGCATGCCTTATGCGTTGATTGATTAATGAGCTTGATAATGTTTAGAATGTTATTGTGAGCCTATCGGTGCTCGTTGAATATGAGACTTCTGTTGGTTTGACGCTGGAAACAAAAAAAAACAGGTATGAATATTGAATTTGTTGCGTTAGACGGTAGGTAGTAGCGCCAAGACGGTACCGTGCTACCGTCACCTTCTGTTGGCTGCTTTAGCCTCTGCCGGTAGCTACAACCGTACGGTACCTAGGTACCGGACGGACGGTAGGCCCTACCGCCTAGTCGGTAGTTGGCTACCGTGGTAGTTCTACCGGAAGGGGTTCACTGATTTGGTCGGTACCCCCGGTACCGTAAGACCGGTACCCTGGTACCATGAAGACGGTACCCCGCACTGTGACAGGTACCGTTTGGTACCTGGTGTCGGGTCCGTCGATTTGTATTTTCGTCAAGGACTGATTCCGAGACTTCGTGTGTTGCATTACGGTAAACATGGGTGTCTACACCCAGTGTTAGGCCGCTATTTGATTATGTTGGACATCTTGTTAAGTGAATTGTGGATTTATGAATGTTGTATTATGTATTGATTAATGAATGTTGGATATATTACCTAGATGAACTCTAAGAAATGACCTGAATGGATTAGTGGCAAGGTATGCCATAAGTACAGTTAGTTAGAGCCATGTGGTACCTGCTGGGTCCAATGGCTGTTCGGGTAAAAACGTGTACACGGGGATCTAAGAACTGTCGTTCCGAAGGGGACAGGGATCTCACTCACCCAACGAGGAACTCCCGAGTTGGTTTGAGCTTGACCTTCGTTCCGAAGGGGAAGGTCATGGCTCCATAGGCAAGTCGAATTCAGTTAAGCTTTAACCTAGCATAGGTTAAGAGCCAAGTATGATAAGGAAACTAAAGTAAGCTAAGAAGGAAGGTACCCAATACCTATATCATTGTTGTTTGTATCTTATGAACTGTCATGCTGTTCATTTGCATGTTATACCTCGTTTGCCGTATGATTGTTGCCAAACATGTTGTGTGCATGATATCATGTGATAATTATGAATTAGTGGATTCGCCTATGTGTATGTTCGAACTGTTAGATATTTCTCACTTAGCTTCAATGCCGAGCGTGTAGCCCTTTTTCCTATTTGCTACACGTAGGTGGTTGTGGGTGATTGACTCTGGAATCCATCCCGGAGAGCAGCATGATGGAGGAGATGTACGGATGCAGGGATTTAATGTGGATTTAATTATAAGGCTTCCGCACTCTTTGTATAAACTCTGATATGTAATTATTAAATGATTTTGAATTGTTGAGTTTTTAATTAAATGTTTTAATTTTATTGGAAAATATTGTATGTGGATACCAATTTAGTAGCAACCCGGTTCGCTAACCTATTTATTCGGGTTATGCGGGTTGGGGTGTTACAATCATAGTTAGAGAAGGATTGTAGAATGTGCATAGATGGTGTAGTGTGATGACTAGTCCCATCCACTATCAAAGAGCCACAAGGACATGGAGTCCGTGGATGCCATAGTAGAGTTGACCACGCGATGGTTCATTTGAGTGTTATGAATAATTGGGACAACACCATTATCTTGAAGAAAGCGGGCAAGCTTGCAGAAATCATGAGATGCTAGCTTGCTATCCTTACATGACATTTCTTGTTGGAAATCATGAAATCAAAGACAACAAACGAAAACTTGATACTATTAAATGATTACGCACTAATGTTAGCGTTACCTAGTGAAAAATGATATTTTGATTGATTTCAAAACTTGTTTGTTGCATGGCAGTAAGCTAGACTATTAAGAGTCAATGGTAGTTTGATATTTTTTATTTATGATTGTATGATTATGATGCATGATGTTGATCATATCTTGAATAATTACGGTTATGAGATAATTGTGATAAATCAATAATATATAAAAGTTATCTGAAAGAACTTTAAGATTGACCTCATGCGACCAATTAATATAGTTAGGCCCTGTGGATGTGTTCATCTAGTGGCTTGGGTTAAAATAGACGTACAAGATTTTCAAACCATTTGAGAATCTCTCATCTGGGGTACCACCCACCCGTCGGTGAGCAGACCGCCGTTTGGCTAAGTGTGACCTACAGAGTAATAGGATAAGTCATGATTCTTGTGTTAGCATTATAGTAAGAATAGTTTAAGAGCATTTTAATTTGTTTATAAAACATATGAATTGACCTTAGACTATGAATAATTTAAGAGCATTATTTTTTATGTCACAAATGATAATTGATGAATATTGAATGTTTTGAATTATATATTGATTGCATGATACCATGTGATTTAGTTATGAATTGTGACTTTATATTAGTGTATGTTCTAAGTATTAAATATCTCCACTCAGCTTCACTGCCTACATGTCAGTAACATGAATAAATAATGAATCTTGAGCAAATCCTAGAGGACAACGAGGACGTGATGTAAGATGGAGGTGTGACAATTTCTATTGTTTAATTAATATTTCAAAATGAATTATTCATATTTTCGACATGAGTTATGATTGTGTTGTCTAAACAATTTATTTAGCTTTTGCCCTTTTATGAAAACTCCGATAATATTTGAGGAATGTTTTTAATGTGTTTACAATTGAGTTTTAAATGTTTTAAATTATGATCTTACCAATTTAATACTTTAGTCCAAAAGGGATTGTAGACCTAGGTGGATTAAGATGTTACATTTTTACTTCGTTTTAACAACAACAATGCTTGGATAAAAAACAAACACGTACTGCAAAGTATTATGTTAGGTGACGTACATTCTAGTAGTTGACAAGAGAGTGGCATAGGAACCATCGCCGAGAGGATCTATGCCCCTAAGTCCTAACATAATACTGTATAAGATGTATTCTTTTTTCTATGAAGTACTGTTGCTGTTAAAACAAAATAATCATTTCTAATTTCTTTTTAATTTCTATCCATTCCCAAATGATTCTCCTATTAAAATGAAATTTTAGTAACGCATTTTTTATGGTGTACAATTTTTGACTTTTTATAAATAAACTACAATCATAAACTTTTCATATTTATTAATTTCTATGTTAAAAATGGTTTAAAAAGAGTAAATTATCTAAATAGTTCTTTATAATTAGAGGTTTTCATATTTAGTCCATATTTATCGAATATTAGGTTTGCGATCCTTATTAATTGGATACTATTTCATGTTTATTCTTTGTCTGACGGTATTGATATGAAAAAATAGACGGAAGATGAAACATGAAATCATATCAAATTAATAAAAACCATTAATATAATGCTCCATATTTTATAAATTAATATAGATAACATAAACCCTACTTATGAATACTATGCTTCTAATTTAGACAAAAAATAGCCTTGTATTTTTCAACAAAAAAACAAACAGCCTTGTATTAGTGTCAAATATCCAGGGGTGGGCACGATCCATGATACTACCAAAATCTATCACGGACCACTCTTTTTTAAATAGTTCGGTATTGGTACATGATGAATGTAAAAATAATAAAGAACGGTTTATTGATTCGATGATAGAAGAGGAATACAAAGTATGTATTTATAGATGGAGGAATATATTCTAGAATCCTCCACATTAATGGCTAATTATATAAGGTAATATTATATAATAATAACTCTAACTATAATAGGTAACAACCATAATTATAATATATAATATTAAATATATTAAATAATTGATATATTTAACANTAATAAGAAGCTAGAGGCATATCTTCGGCTAGAGTAGACTGAATGCATCCGGCCTGGAAGAGAAGAAGAAAGATTGCTAGGAAAGAGAAGTGAAGGCGCTGATGAAGAGAGGAGAAAAGCCGCTGCGAACAGACTCATGTTGCTGACGTCAAAAGAGGGAGAAGGTTGACGCACGCTGGAGTCGTGCGCGACTGGTTAGAGAAGAAACATAAGGAATGAGGTACTGCCGGAGATGCATGTTGACTGAAGATCTACCCACTAATTGTGCCTCATGTTACTCTCGAGTGAACAGTTGCAATCTTGGCGCCATGAGAGGAGTAGGAATTGATTTAGACCTCTTCTTTTTTTAAAGTCGTCGGACAACAAAAGAAACTAGAAAACTTTATAGTTTCAGGAGATGGTGAAGAATTTGGGTCAAAGGAAAACAGTGATCCGGCGGGCGGTGGTTAATGGCGGTGCTACCCGCCAGAAGCAAAAGCGGAGAAATTTAGGTCACCAAGAACGGTGGCTCTGATACCATGTAAAAAATAATAAAGAACGGTTTATTGATTCGATGATAGAAGAGGAATACAAAGTATGTATTTATAGATGGAGGAATATATTCTAGAATCCTCCACATTAATGGCTAATTATATAAGGTAATATTATATAATAATAACTCTAACTATAATAGGTAACAACCATAATTATAATATATAATATTAAATATATTAAATAATTGATATATTTAACAATGAACCACAAAACCATTTGGTACCGTTCGTTTTGAAAAGGAAGATTACAATATCATACCCATGCTTAGACTCTGCCAAAAAAATGAACATGCATTACTCAAAGAATATTAAAATAAAAGCACAATTTTGTATTATAAAAATACAACTTGGTTAAAAAGAAGTATTGATTTCAAATTTAAAAGGATCATAAACATAAAGAATAAAAGATAACGAGTCTAAATATAAAAGATAGTTTTTTTCAATTCATATAATATCAGACTATTAAAAACTCCAAAACATAATGTTAATAATAATAATAAATATAACAACAACAATAATAATGAAAGAATATTTAAAAAATGAATAGTACAATACGAGGTACTACATATATTTGAGATACTCTGTATATAGTTTTGAACTATTCGATTCGTGATAATCAATTTTAAATCTTTGTATCACGATCCCATCCCGTTTGATATGGATTTGGTTTTGGTTCGTGATAGAAACAATTAAATCTGGTTAAAACACTATAAATGGTTCGGTACCATTAGGGGTGAGATCGGTTTTGGCGGTTTGGTTTTCACCAAAAACCAAAGACAAAAAGGAAGGTAAAGTGGGGGGTTCGGTTTGGTTTTGCATAAAAAATATGTAAATCGTTGGTTATTCGGTTCGCTTTTATACGGTTTCTACTTTGGTTTTTTCCGTGTATAAAATTAGAATTTTATAAGCATTAAAAAATTGTATTAACACTAACTCGATGAGACAATAACAATATGTAGTGTTAGCTTTGGTTTTTTGTTTTATTTTTACACAAAAAAACCAAACGGAAAGTTTTTGTTCCTTTCGGTTCAATTTTACATAAAAAATATATGTTGGGTGCCCAACAAGCATTTAGAAGATTTCAAATACTTCCAAAGACATCTATGCAAATTCAATTACTAAGAATACATGTTTTTTTGGTATAATACTTTCATTTTCATTATAATATCAAAGTATTTTTTATGTAAATAGGTAAATTACTTGTATCAATTTTTAATGTTAATATAATTCTATATTAGGATTAACTATTGGTGTTCATATTCTTAGGTTTTTTTAAAGTTTATAATAATATGGCTAGAATGTTTAATTAATAGTTAAGAAAATAATTTTAATCGACTAGTAATATATTTACATTTATACTTCTATGATTTTTTTACATATCACATATATTTATATAAATAAAGCGAATGTCTAAGAAAGTTCGGTTTATTCAGTTCGATTTGATTTTTCAAAGTGAAAATCAAAATGGAACCAAACACTAACGGTTTGGTTCAATTTTTTTACATTCAATTTAAGTTTTTTCAGTTAAGTTTTTTTTAGCTCGATCAATTTCGATTCGGTTTGTGGTTTTCGATTTTCCCAACCAAGCCCTAGCTACCATTATGATCAGGTGTGATAGAATGTTAGTTAAATTTTTTTTGCCCCCTTCCAATATGTTCTCCTTTGAGTCCAGTCAAATGCCCTTCGCCAGTGCTCCAATTCCTTCCTTAGACATTACTCTGCTACTCATCTCTGTTCTGTGTTCATGAACTGAATGGCCACCAAAGAGAATTGCAGGAACGAGCTCCGTGCTGCCATCCGTCAGCTCAGCGATCGCTGCCTCTACTCCGCCTCTAAATGGTATATCTTTTCTTTCGTTCGCATCAACCCTAAGTTCCCGGGAGTGCATTTTTCTGTATAATTCTAAAAAAACTCGATTTTCCGAGCAGGGCCGCGGAGCAACTGGTCGGAATCGAGCAAGACCAGACGAAGTACCCCACTTCACACACGCGGTTCCAGCGCGGGAGCTCCAGCATTCTTCGCCGCTTCCGCACAGCCGCGGGAGAAGGCACCTTTTCTAGCACCCCGACAGCGGGCGTGTCCTATGTTGCTACCCCGCCCGTGCTCGATGATGAATTCGAGGCATTTGACAGTGACTTTTACCTGCTAGCCAAGTCTTACTTTGATTGCAGGGAGTACCGACGGGCTTCACATGTGCTCCGAGATCAGAAAAGCAAGAAAGCTGTTTTCTTGCGGTGCTATGCACTTTATTTGGTGTGTGCTTCTGATTGCCCTTTTCAATTTAATTGTGCATCCAACCTCTAGTTCTTTATAATCGTTCTAGTTGATATTACTCCAGACCATACTATGCCTTGAGACCTCCACATCGACCGTATGAAATCGACCAAATCACCCAAAATAGTTCCAAATATGTCTAAAGAGCCATACCTTGTTCGGGGTGTCAATTCACCAAAGTTTGGATCATATGTGCTTAACGTACTTTTGTTAAGATATTGTATTGAGACCATACTATGCCTTGAGACCTCCACGTCAAACGTGTCCAAAATCGACCAAATCACCCACAATAGTTCCAAATGTCTAAAGAGCCATACCTTGTCCAGCGTTCTAGTTGATATTACTCCAAATAGTATTAACATACTCATATTCACCTAATGTTTATTTGTTTGAGCTGAATCATAACTATGAATGCTGGCTGGATGCTTTGATGCATTTGGAAGTGTTTTGATGTCCCTTGGAAAATATTTGAATTTGTGCAATTATGAATTGATTTAAGGAACTGGAGGCAATTGAATTGCAACTTAAATTAGAGGAAAATTGACAATATTTTTTGAATCATTACTTTTGTTTTGAAGTATGGTTTAACTCAATGAATTTTTATTTGATGAAATTATAATTTGTTTCTTCATGATTACATTTTGTGACCATTTATGAAATGGGGTTTCCCTATTCTTTCTAAAGTCACATTCATGAATGGTTATAAGAAATAACAGGGTTTAATCTGTCACTTGTAAAAAGACAAAACATTTTGATTTTACAATGATAATCAATCACTACAAAGTTAGCCTTTTGCATTTGGAATATGGTCTCAAATTTAAAGTCCTAAGTGATGTTTTCATTTGAATTGGTTAAATAAATATTGCTATTTTTTAAGTGCACAGAAATAATATCTGCATATGTGAGACGTGTTGCACAATTCTATTACCATTATAGTATAATAAACGTGAAGACTATGGAATCATCCAACGTACCGTACCTATCGAGATAAACAAATTTTAAATTGCCAAACATTGTTTGAGGGTTCAATCTAAAAATGAATACCACTAGAGGTCAAATGGGTTTGCCCCCCTATGTCTTAAATTATATGTAATACATCATCTATCAGTAACTATTGTACATCTTCAATTTGTGATTAACGTATAGAATTGCGCAGTTAGCATTATTTTCTTATCTTCAGTCCTTATGTTGAAAAGAGCACACTTCACATTGTCACCAGTCACAATATGCTCGAGATACCTTCTCATATATGAAGATATGCCGTACCTATGTATTTTTTCAGTTTGTAATGTCTCTGTCAATGGTTTAATATAGAAGAATAAGCTCAAACATTGACAGCATATTGTTGTATTTAAATGGATTAGTATATTTAGCCTTTCTTGTTTCCCTTCAAGCTATTCCTCCATGCTGTATTAATGTCCTTCCAGAGAAAGCTATTCTTTTTTTGATCAACAACAACAAACCCAGTGGAATCCCACAAAAACTAGGGTTTGGGGAGGGTGAGTGTGCACATACCTTACCCCTACTTCAAAGTAGAGAGGATGTTTCCAAGGGACCTCCGGTTCAGATACAAAAGTACCAGCTGATGCCATACATAAAAGAGGATTCTTTGAAAGTTTTGCTCTTTTGCAGTCAAGCGATAAAGTAAATGCAACAGTGCCCCACCTAATACAAAATTTTCTAAATGCTACCACCTAATGCCACCATTGCTCTAAATCTGGCCATTATTAATGACCCAATGTGCTCGGTTTCTCAAAATTTTAGATGACTGACCAGTTATTTATCCATGTCACCATCACCACCAATCTAGCAGAAACAGTTT